AAAATATTGATTTCTTATTAATCGATATATAAATATGGGCTCGATCATTCATTTTCCTTCAGCTTAGTCCCTTATTCATCAGGAGTCGTCACAGCGGAATGAACCGCCAACTATTCCTGCATATGTTTTACACAGCGAATGCCCTTCCAGCTGCAACCCAAGTACTGGGAAACACCCATTCACACTCATTCACACATACACTCATACACTCTGGCCAGTGTAGTTGATCAATTCCCCTATAGCGCATGTGTTTGGACTGTGGGGGAAACCGGAGCACCCGGAGAAAACCCACACCAACACTGGGAGAACATGCAAACTCCACACTGAAACACCAACTGACTCAAACCAGCGACCTGCTTGCTGTGAGGCCACAATGCTTACCACTGAGAAACCATGACCATTATAAATGTGTGTGTCCTGGATTAATGCAGGTGCAGTACAGTGATGATGGATCAGCAGGGCTCTCTTCACGTCACTCTCAGGTTTCATCTGTCTCCATGGCAGAGCTGATGATGGCTGTAAAAGCTCCATTACTGGGAAACTGCTCCGATTACGCTGGAGATTAAAGCTTTTCAGATTAAATTATTGCAGATTAAATGTCAAGGCTGTCATCTGCCACAACACACACACACACACACACACACTGTTATACAGCTGCATGTACAGTGCTGCTGTCGGTCCGTATTTATTATTATTTGATCTTCATTGATTATATTTATGGGCTCATCAGTGTGTAGTGTAGATCAGCGTATGCTGCAAATCATCCATGATTTTAAATGTGCATTATTGCTCACATTATGAGAATATTGTAAGTAATATATATTTTATGATTTCCACACCAAGGCTGTTTTTGTTATTTAAAAAATTGTGATTGATTATGATTATGATTGTGTGTGCTAATTTCTGGATGATGTGTTTTATCCTGATTTTGATTGTGATTGTTTTTTGTAATATGATTGTGATTTTGTGTGCTGATTTCTAAATGATGAATATGATTGTGATTTTTTTTTAATATGATTGAGATTTTTGAGTGCTGATTTCTGGATTATGAATATGATTTTGATTATGATTGTGTATTTCATTCATTCATTCATTCATTTTCTTGTCGGCTTAGTCCCTTTATTAATTCAGGGTCGCCACAGCGGAATGAACCGCCAACTTATCCAGCAAGTTTTTATGCAGCGGGATGCCCTTCCAGCTGCAACCCATCTTTGGGAAACATCCACAAACACACATTCACACACACACTTATACACTACAGACAATTTAGCCAACCCAGTTCACCTGTACCGCATGTGTTTGGACTGTGGGCGAAACCAGAGCACCCGAAGGAAAGCCACGCGAACGCAGGGAGAACATGCAAACTCCACACAGAAACACCAACTGAGCCAAGGCTCGACCCAGCAACCTTCTTGCTGTGAGGCGACAGCACTACCTACTGCATTACTGCCTTACTGCCATGATTGTGATTTTGCGTGCTTATATCTGGATGATGAATATGATTGTGATTTTGAATATGATTGTGATTTTGTGTGCTGATTTCTGATTGGTGAATATGATTGTCATTGTGTGTATCGATATCTGGATGATGAATACGATTGTGATTTTGCGTGCTGATATCCGGATGATGAATATGATTGTGATTTTTATTATGATTGTGATTTTTTTGTGCTGATTTCTGATTGGTGAATATGATTGTCATTGTGTGTATCGATATCTGGATCATGAATATGATTTTGATTATGATTGTGATTTTTGTGTGCTGATATATGGATGATGAATATGTTTGTTTTTTATTATGATTGTGATTTTTGTGTGCTGATTTCTGATTGGTAAATATGATTGCGATTGTGTGTGTGCTGATATCTGGATGATGAATATGATTGTGATTTTGATTATGATTGTGATTTTTGTGTGCTAATTTCTGATTGGTGAATCTGATTGAGATTTTGCTTATGATTGTGGTTTTTGTGTCCTGATATCTGGATAATGAATAAGATTGTGATTTTGATTATGATTGTTTTTTTGCGTGCTGATAACTGGATGATGAATATGATTGTGATTTTGATTATGATTGTGATTTTTACGTGCTGATTTCTGATTGGTGAATATGATTGCGATTGGGTGTATGGATATCTGGATGATGAACATGATTGTGATTTT